CCCCCCCCCCCCCTCCCTCTTTCGTGAAACGTGTATCAGCTCTAACTCTCTTGTCAAGCAATTTGGAGGACGTGCAACTTGGCTGGCAAACTATGCCGACAGCTCTAACTCCGATGGCAATGGCCATGGAACACACGTTGCTGGCACAATTGGAGGCTCGACTTACGGAGTTGCAAAGAAGACCAACCTGTACGCAGTCAAGGTGCTCGACTCATCTGGATCAGGCACCACGTCCGGCGTCATTGCAGGCATGAACTACGTTACTTCTGATGCACAGACACGCAGCTGCCCCAACGGCACCGTTGCCAACATGTCTCTCGGAGGTTCCTCGTCCACATCTATCAACAGCGCTGCTCGATCTATGATCAGCGCAGGTGTCTTCCTGGCAGTTGCCGCTGGTAACAACAATGCCAACGCGGCCAACTACTCCCCAGCCTCCGAGTCCACGGTCTGCACGGTTGGAGCTACCGATTCGAATGACGCTCGTGCCTCTTTCTCCAACTACGGCAGCGTTGTCGATATTTTCGCGCCCGGCGTCGACATTCTATCATCATGGATTGGAAGCACCACCGCCACCGTAAGTTCATGTTATTCAAGTTTTCATATTATGTTTGCCTCGCGCTGACTTACCATCCAGAACACCATTTCCGGCACCAGCATGGCCACTCCCCACATCACTGGTCTCGGTGCATACCTCCTGACACTCTTCGGCGCTAAGACGCCTCAAGCCCTTTGCACATATATCCAGAGCATCGCCACTTCCGGTGTCCTGACCAATATCCCTAGTGGAACCGTCAACTTGCTGGCTTTCAACGGCAACCCATCTGGTTAAGACTTGCAACTAGAACATCTACGCTACTAGACGAATCCTGTGGGATCATCGCCACGTATTTTCAAGCTACCGTTCACGTGGTATCATGAAAGCGACAAGGACTTGTCAACTAGCTTGTGATATTCCATAAAAAGTTCAAGATCGCTGAGTTGATGCTGTTGAAGAGTTATATAGTATGTACATGGGATGAGTCTGTATATAGAGAAATTGATTGTTATTACATTACCTTATATTTTTTCATTGCCATTGCTCGATCATTCAAGTTTCTTAAGGCCTTTACATGTGACAATCAGAAGTAGTCAACATAGCTTTTAAGAGGTATAGTATGAAGAAATTATAGGAACCTATAGTTGCATAGTTAGAGTTTGAGCACGCGACAAACTTCTTGGTAGGTTTTATTTTGTCTAACAACTTAAATATCCTATGCTGTTTCAAAGCCGGTAAGCGACTATCTTGCTAGTCTCATAAGTATATTAAAAAATAGAAGACATCATGGCCCCTAGTGGTGATGCTCGTTGTTATCATCGCCTTCGGGGGCAAATGGAGGGTCTGCCCCATCGGTATTTGGATTCCACGACGGATTGGAACCCGCGTCTCGCCATCTCACAGACCGCGGGCCATGCTTATTCCAATCCAGAATCGCATTGAAATCCCTGCATGTATGTAAACTTGACCAGTTTGGCAAAGCGTCTCTCCTACGGGGGTTATCCAACGGGTCATAAAAGAGTGCCGGGGTAACATCGGCGTTGCACATAATGCTTATTCTCAACATATCAATGCAGTGATCTATGAAAAATATTAGGAGATATGCCATATTGTATGGAGATCACGTATTGCTTACCAAAGTGAGTGAAGATGTTTTCGTCGGGGACTCCCTCGTCAAGGAACTTATAGTGATCGTAGTTGAAAAACAGGCCCATCCTCAAGGAGTTCTGTCTATTGTTAGTCGCCAAGATTTCTGTCTAAACTGCACACTACCAAACTTACTAGACAATGCAGTAAATGAAAGACTTCTAGCATCGCCAGATACCCACCACCATGTTCTTCCGGTACCTTGTGTAATGGATTATCAGGTGTGCCGGTAATATTTAGTGCCTCTCTTTCTTGTTCTGTTATCCAAATCCCACCTGCCCCGAGCTCGATCTCATGCCAAGCAATATCAACCTCGTCAGAGTGTTGACCCGGATCCATTCGCCACCTATTCTTCTGTCTGAAATCCGCCGCATAATGATGCGGAGGTTTGTATTGCACTGCTTCTAATGCTGGTGCTAGTTGACAGTCAATATGTATTCTAAAAATCATTTTGTACGGCTCATACATATTGTGGAAATGTCCCGCCATGTTAGGTCTGGCTTTGGCCGATTCCTAACGATGTAAACCAAACATAGGACAGCAATTAAATTAGTGCAAAGAAGGAAAATCGTCGATCGTGGCCATCTAGCCCTCAACTGTCCAGTTGGCAGTGGAACACTTGTCGCATGTTGTTTTTCTGTCTGTGGCAGTGATTCATAGAGAGGTTTTAATGATAGCAATCTTGGCCACATCATGAAAGGTTTGCGCATCAAGTTGTTAAGATGCCATGCAATTTAGATATTTGAAACATAATGGTGTTTCTTACTCATTGAAATTTGCTAGTAAGGAAAGATCTCGGGTAGCACCAAATCATAGCGCATGGAGATTCCGATACTATTGTGGATTTGTAAGTCCAAGACTATCTCGAACATGGAAGGTCGTGGCAACCCACAAAATCTCCTCGTTCAATCAACATTCATTCACAAGCAGCAACACGTCATAGGTAGATTCCTGTCTCGCATACCCTCGGACTAGAATACTGATAGTCATCGGCTCTGCAATGCCAAGGTGGCCAGGCCGTACTTTCGTAGTAACCTTCAATGTTTTTCACGCCCCCAACTGCTTGATCGAGTTTAGCATGACTCTTTGTAACGCACTGTTTATAAATCTCCCCGACTCAAAGTTCCGGACTTAGAAAGCCCGTGCAGACAATCTCGTATGACCCAACAAATTGTTTGATAGCAAAAGGCTAGACTGTTAGGACAATTCGGAATATCTCTTTTATGCCTACGCCACTGTAATGAATTTGGTCATGAAAGCATCTAGGCTCACCTGAAGGCATCATTCGGGAATTAGGTTGCACGTTCATTTATTGTCAGAAGCAACAAGTCCTACCAGGATCAAGAATAAATTGGTCGGTCAGAAAAGCTTTGTGGCACAGGGCTCGTATGTCATCGCTTATTTCACAACGACCTTCCTTTCACGGGGTTGTTCCCAAGTCATAGTGCTGCAAGGAAATCCTACTCGAGTAAATCCGTTACTCAGGACCCACTGTTCACAACAGTGTTCTAGGCGATAGATAAGAACGTCTAATGCGAGGCTCTCCCTCTTAAATCTATGATTCAACGATGTGTGGCACTATATAACCAGCGTTGAGCTCTCTATACGGGACAGTATACTTCTTCCGCACTATCCCTTTTCTTCAAATTGGATAAATCTCTCTCGGATTTGTTTCATTAGATAAAATGAAGGTTTCAACCATTTTGACTTTGGCCATTCATGCTGCCAACGTTCTCGCTGCGCCGATCGCTGCCCCGGAGGCTGATCTCGCTAAAGATTCCATCATAATCAAGTCAGCCGGTACTTACAAGAGGGACGCGCCCGTGTTGGATAAAGACTCCATCATCATCAAATCGGCCGGCACTTACAAGCGTGATGCCCCTGCTTTGGAAAAGGACTCGATCATCATTAAATCTGCTGGGACATACAAGCGAAACTCTGCGTCACTCGAGAAGGATTCCATCATTATCAAATCCGCAGGCACCTATAAGAGAGGCGAGGACGAGAAGCGAGAGCCTACAGATGTGAGGAGTACCAAATTGTTTGACTTGTTTCAGGTGCTGACCAAATCCTCAGCTTTCCAAAAACTCCATTATCATCAAGTCTGCAGGCACATATTAAAGGCTCTCAAAGTTGACCAGTGTATATGTCCCGTCTCGATGATAGATAGACATAGTTCACATGTTGAATCATGCAAATACTTCGGTACTTGACAAGTCCGTGGATCAAATACAACATTAGTGTTCTTTGACCTGAAATATATCCTGTCTACCCATCTCTCATATTGATGTATTGTGGATGACTTTTCAGGAGTTTTGTAGCCTATCGCCAATCAAAGGAAAGTAGAATGACACTAGTCTACACGACTACTTTGTCTATGTAGCCCAAGGATCTTGAGAATTGACTCTTCGGATAATTTCTCTTCTTTGATAGCCATACCCAGCGTTTCAATGTGTTGTGATAGCAGCCCAGCGTTCTAACTTGTTCAATATTAACTTCGGACACGAGGCAATAACGCGATCATGAAGCGAGACCATAAAGATTAAAGAATTGTAACACCCCGTTCAAATGTCATAAATAAATAAGATATCGTGAATATCCACGATACCAGTATCATCTCAGTCAATCACGATCTTCGACCTCCGTCATCAGTCATCTGCTTGAAGACTGAAAAGAGGACAGTAGGGTTTCCTGGATTCTCATATATCAAGGGTCGTATTATACTGGTGCACGGCCCATGGGAGGGTGTAAGCTTGATCAACCTAAACGAATTGCGCCTTAGCAGCGCAAACGGATTAGTGAGTTCTTTAGCAGAGATATTGAAACAATCAAATTGGCGCCACAGCTAATGATGGACTAGTGTTGTTCCGTTTTGGGCTATAGGTGTGAAAAGTCATCCAGGGGATCCTGGTTTCTGTAGAAGAGCAGGTCCACCTACCACGAGCATAGACGAGTTCTGGCTCGGCGCATGTAGTAAACACTACTGCCAATTCTGATCATGACGGTCATTTCTGAGTGATTATAGGCTCTTTATGTTGAAGTCTAATTGGAGGGGTTACCTGAGTTCTGGCAAAGCAAACGTGACTACTTGATTAAACGAAAGGGAGACAATGGGGTTTATGAACAAGTTGAAAATGTGAATCGTATGTCGAATATATCGGACCGCCATGTCCGCCATTCAATATCTTGAGCTAGATGTCTCTGGAACGCATTGTATGTGTTCGCGCTGTGCATCTTGTCATTTGATATATGTTGCTTCCACATTGGCGATGATGCATCATGAGATACGCAATCGGCCAAAGACCATCTCATGCGCACCAAAGAGTTTGTTGCGGATGCTTGAAGACGGCGCAGCTCACCCTAAACCTGTTCCTGATGTGACTGTACAATGGTAGCGTGAAGATCAAAGAGTTCGTGGCTTAAAATGGTCTGCGGATTGAAATTAGGTGGGGGACGCGAACCGAGCGTTGCAAGGTTATCGCTCCATAGCCTAGCCCTTTCTGTGTAGGATGTGCCACCAAATCACACCCAAACTGCATGCCCAAGGAGTTCGTATTTGAGAGCTGACACTCCCCTAGACCAGAGTCAAGATGCGTTCTCGACTGTCTCTGCTTGCCGCTGAAGCTTGAGTCTCGATTACTTTGCTCGAGCATCATGTCAACTCTGGGCATCTAGGTTGAGTGCTTGCGGGGAAGGGGGCGATACTTGACAGCACATTCGTTCAATTTTTGAGCTTATTTCTCTCTTTTTCTGCCTGTCGCTTCTCGTTCTGACCGGCAGAAACCCGGAACAGCGATGATGCATGCAGCTGGCCGAAGAAGCTCACACGATACTCTAGTCTCCGGCAAATGGCGACCTTGGGACATCTTAGTGCGTGACCATGGCAGCCAGGGTGGCCGGGGTGGACGAGGCGGCGGCAATGGGATGAGCGGAGGGAATGGAGGGAGTGGAGGTAATCATAATCGAGAAGACAACGACAATTCTAATGGAGAAGGCAGAGGGAGGGCAAGCGGGAATGGAAATAACAATGGCGGCAGCGGGCGAGGCGGAAGCGGCAATGGTCGCGGGAGTGGTAGTGGTAATTCAAACGATGATGACGATGATGACGATGATGCGGGAGGTAATTCAAATGGAAACGGCGACAACAATCGAGGCGACACAACGACGAAGACTCAGAAGAAGACCACTAGTGCCCGGTCCACGACAAAGGTGCCTAGTCGGACAACCTCAACCCCTAAGGCGAAAGCCTCTCCAACAACTACCACAAAGGAGGCTGCTTCTCCTGCCCAGACTCAGAAGGCTCAGGTTGTAGAATCATCGACTTCAACTCCGGCACCGTTGCCCAAAACTAAGTCGCCGGGCACGGAAGATGTCACCGCGGTCCCTGCCACACGACAGCCGGCGGCGTCCAATTCTATCGCCTCAAATCGGGATGACTTCACATCAACATCGAGTTTGAACAGTGAAGCAACCGAGCTACCAGTGCCGGTGACATTGGCTTCGAGTGAAAGAGGCGGATTGCCTTCTGGGGCGACACAAGTAGCTGGGGCGCCCGGGCCGAGTACTAACACCGCTTCGTCTCAGTCTCCTGTGCCCGGATCGGGAGGTCATAGAGGTTCGAGTAATGTGGGCGCCATTGCGGCAGGCGTCGTAGGTATGTATATGTGCCCGACTGCCAACATGACCGAGGCTAACAAAGTCAAAGTTGGAATTCTTGCTCTGCTCGTTCTGATATTCCTCGGCTGGAAGTTCCGTCGGTCCAGATTTCTTGGACCTATCACCAACCGCTTTGGAACGAACCGTGGTGGCAAAGATCGGCAAGGCATAAATTCCTCCCCAATTATGGGCGAATCTCTCCTCATAGGAGCTGGAGCAATGGAACGCGGCCGCAGTGATGGAAATGTTAGCCCACCTGCCTATGAAGATACTCGGTCTCGAATGGAGGCAGCTGCTGGCCCCCTTGCCAGGCCTAGCCCTGCTATGACACGGTCTGGCAGTCATCGTGCTCATCAGAGCACCGGAGCCCTGCATGGAGGATCCTCTCCACCTCGGTATGGAGATCATCCTCGACCGGTGCCACCTATGGCCGAGAATCCTACGAGGGTTCCTATTTCTCTAATTCCTGGACCGATGCGTGTTAGACGAGCAACTTCACCAACTTCTGCGGCACGTGCAGCGCCGCAACAAGGAGGAATGGGCCCACCCACTCCTAATCTGAAGCGGAAGCCAGTGGCGAACCGAACGATGAATAATTTGCCTGTACCACCGCCTGAGCCCTACGGGCGTGAACCGTCAGATGTTAGTGACCGGCGAACGACAAACCATTCTGGCTGGTCATCCTTTCTGCCGCCAAACGAAGAGACCACCGATACAGACAAGCGACATAGGGATAGTTTCGTAAGCATTGGTGGTGTCAGCATAGCTAGCAGTGGGGTGATATCGCCCTCTATCTTGAACTGGCCTATGCCACCATCCACGCCTCCGACAATGTCTGTGGCGGGATTATCAGAAGACGGCAGGCAGTCAGCTCAAGGGCGGGTGCGTCCAGGAGAGCAACCTCCCACTGTGCGCCAAGTCTATCGACCGCCCACTCAGCCAATACCCGCCAGAGCAAATATGGATACTGCTGCGTCAGCCCATGTGAATGACGGCGCGGAAGTTCTAACAGCATCCCGAATCACATTCCAGCAGCCCTCGAGAACTGTTGTCAGAGTGCAAAGACGTTCAACTCAGAGCTCGGCACCAAGTTCCGTCTGGAGCGAGTCAAGACAACCTCGAGAACGATGAGAATATCACGAGAGCATTGAATCGATCTCCGACTCCCACGGAGAAGCCTAAGGTTTATTATCTAATGTATATTTGTCACGATCATGTATACCAAATGATTTCATAGCATAGCGTAGCAACCGAGTACAAATTTTGGGTATCAATTATTATTCCACTTCAACGGAGAAGTTAAATATTCAAATTGTCCTCAGCCGATAGGGTGACACGGCTCATGAGACGTACTTGAGCAAAGATAGTCCTGTAAAACGCCCGCCAAAGACTGGCTGCAAGTGGTCAAATAACGCCCCAGTGTCTTCTTCTTTCACGCCCACGATGGGCTCCGGATCATACGGCAGCATTTTGGACAAAACATCCTTTGCCTCCCTGGCTAAATCATCGGCTTCGCTGTTGATCATATCGGGAGCCTTCTCTTTCAAGACCTGGGAAAGGTGGTATTTAGTACGAGCAACGGCAGCATCTGGCCAAAAGTTCTTGCCACCTCGTTCACTCGCTTTGGAAAGTGCTTGCCTCATCCATCGCCTGTTGCATCTAGGTCAGCTTTGCTAATCTAAAGAGCCATCAATGACTTACTCGGCTTCGTCCAACCTGCCAACATAATGGCACATAGCAGCATACGCGTATTGGCTTTGCAAAGAAAAGTAATTTGCCCGCCCTTGGAATCCAAGCCTTGCTTCAAGGATTTCGCGGTGTAATGCCAATGCTCTATCTTTGTCACCTGACTGTAAGATGATACAGGCGAGATCATACTGATATCTAAGGGTGATCTGTCTATCACCAAGCTGACTGATTATGGCTACAGCTTTCTCTGCTAGCTCAATAGCTCTCTTGAAGTCTCGACGATACATCCTACAGTAGGCCATGTGGTGATGGAGCTTTGCTATTGCGAAGGCGTCCGTCGGATCTGTGTCTGTTCCAAGCTCGCGATATTTGTTATAGCAAGTTTGATAGATAGGCTCGGCACTGACATAGTCGTTGAACTGCAGTAAAGCGTTGGCATAGTCGGCGAAGGCGTTGTTTAACAGAATCTCGTCATCCCTAGTCACATCTTGTGGTGCTTTCTTCTTCACAATCCGCTTCCTGTACTCTAGAATGCGGGCCAAGCGGTCTTTGCTTTCCTTTCGCTTGCTGATTCCTGAGTATTGCAAGAGTAGATTGATTGTAATGTTGATTTCAGCACGAAGATTTTCTTCTTCGATTTCCAACTCATCAAGAATCTTCTCGGCAGAGTTTAACAATCTCAGCGCATCAACATGGATATATCTCTGCCATAGTAACACACCGCCGTCTTTGAATAGCTCTGCGAGACCAAGGAATGGAGTAGGTGTTGTTATAGA